TACGTTACGTTACGTTACGTTACGTACGTTACGTACGTTACGTTCGTTACGTTCGTTACGTTCGTTACGTCGTACGTCGTCGTACGTCGTCGTCGTCGTCTCGTCTCTCTCTCTCTCTCTCTCTCTCTCTCTCTCTCTCTCTCTCTCTCTCTCTCTCTCTCTCTCTCAATGCAATTCTCAAACTCAATGTACTTTTATATGCTTTACATTTTGCCAGGGCCAAAGGGGTTTTCTCTATCATCTTATGGATCAGGAGCCAGTACTGTGGAGCCATTTCTCATTGATGAGAAAAAGATAACATCAAAGCATGTGGTCTTTTGGGTAGAGAAGCGTTTGGCAGCTCAAGGCATTCTTCCTGTATGGAGGGAATGATCAATCAGTAGTCCACCCAATTGTAAATCAATGAGAGTTGTATTAATCCATAGTATAATTTGATATATTAAGCCAACATTTATTGCATGCCGTAGGGAAGATGGCAAACCAAACAACGCTCCATAATTTTGGGTAATTCAGTGGCCCATTTTTGTTTTTTAAAGTAGATTAGGAGTTTTTTTTTTTTTTTAAGCATTAGTGGGGTGGTCTTAGCGGTGAAAATGGAAACCATAAGGTGGTGATTAGGGTGTGGGGTGGTACCCCCGCAACCCAAGCCCCCTAAAAAAACAACAACACTTTATAATTGTATGAAATACAAGCCATTAAAATCAAAAAGCTGATTAAGAGGGAGAAGGTTCTTGTAGAAAAACTTGCCAAAAAAGCCCATTAGTGTTCTAATCGGACTCGGCCCCTAACTCGTCAAGTAGCCACTCCAGATTAAGTCTGACAATGAAAATCAAACATTACAAAATTAACATAAATAAATATCATATTTTATGTGATTCATTATTAATGTGACTACATCCAGTGGCGAAGATAAGTAAAGGCTTCACTATCGTAGATCTAAATGTCCTAGCCAACTCTAACATGAGAAATCTCAATTACTAAAGCCAAATGCACATAACATTGTATACTAGGTTAAACCCTAAGGTGACCCCTAGAAAATATAAGGTAAAGGGTGTGATTTGTTTAAGACATAGACCCAAAACCATAAAAGTAAGGCGCGCCTTCAAATAGTGTCGAAATATGTGTTTAACTACTGAAATCTTGTTTTCATCTCTAAATATAAAATTTAAAGCTTCAAAAATAGTGTAGATCAAGAAAATCTATGAATACTTGAAAATCTTGGAAATTGACGGTCCAAAATATATTACAATATGCACTATTTCCAAGACTTAAAATCCATTTTTTTTAATGTCCGTACATCTTGACGTTGAGATGATCAATTTGAAGAATTTTGGATATTGAAAAAACCTCTTCTAGTGAATTTTTGAATTGCGCGTTTGCCCTTATATAAACTTTTGCAAAAATATATATGTTACTTTAACCTTGATATATATCCATATGCTGAAAATAGGGTGAGGAGTACGAGGACCCGGGATCAACGTGATATTTGTTGCATCATAAAAGAGACAGTACACACAACAATGGTAACATGAAGGCTATTTTGGGTGGAGAGGAAGATTTAAAAGAAGTTAATTAATTGCATAAAGTGAGACAGTGAAGAGAATTGGATATAAATAGTCGAGAGATAAGGACAATGGGTAAGAACTTTAAGAAAAAGACCACAACTGCTACAAATGCTAGATAGATAATCAGAGGTCTACTTCCAAAATAACCCACGAGGAAAGCTTGTACAGAGAGAGAGAGAGAGATTGAGTCGTTTTGAGTGTGAGTAGAACGATTAGAGTGAAGCCTATTTCAATGAGGGGTAGAGAGAGAGGAGATTAATGATTCAGACCGATCAAGATCCAATCCAAATTGTCGATCCAGCAATTTGACAAGGATCCGTGGGTGAATCATCTTGCGCACATATCCGGGTTTTCAATCAATGTCTATGAGCAAGGTTGAGCAATGGAAATGGAAAACAATGGCACAAAGGAGAAATAAATATTTAAGAAATTTATGCCATTATCTTTATCGAGTATTGTTATATAAAAATCCCTCTCAAAAGTTTGATGTACCTTCATCTATCTTTTTTTTAACATCTTATTTTTTCAGTTCATTCCTATTTCAAACCTCGCAGCTCCGTAATTGAATCTTTTTACCCATTATCTTATTTCAGACCCTCAAAGGTCTAAAGATGTTTCAAACCACTTCAGAGGCAGAGCTTCAAAGTCAAAAAGTTGATATGTGGAACAAAAATTAACAAAATAATTGATATATCAAGTTCAGATCTTGAAGCTTCAAAATTATGTTTGGAACAAAAATCAACAAATCAATTTTCAATAAAAAGCCTCAAACAACTTAAAAGTCCAAAGTAGGGCAATATGGGGGAAAAAAAATTAGAGATAGTAATATAAAGTATTTTTTAAATAAAATAATTTAAAGGGACATTAACCTAATTCTTAAACAAGGTTGAGCATCGTATGTTTCAACATGAAATTTCATGTATCCGTTGAATTTCGGCAAACCAACGGAAATATTCCGAAAGTTTCACTTTATCAAGTGGATATTGGCTTGCATTGGGGTGTGCCCCTTTCATCTAAACACTATTCCCACGTACGCCCATTTATCCAAATAAACAAAAATCAAAATAAAAATAAGAATACAATTGAAAAAAACTGCATACGTATAAACTCAATTGTACCTATAAAAATTTTCAGATCACATGGCGGCAGCAGAGAAGGCAATCATCACAAATTTCTAGATCACATGGCGACAACAAAAACCTAAATCCAATACTCCGGTGGTGTGGTCATTTCTTGAGCTCCAGCATTTCAAGTTGAATATTGACGGAGTTTCTTTGCATAACTCAGGATTAGTTAGTGGTGGAGGTGTTATCGAGGATAGTAATGGTATTGTTGTCATTTATTTTGCCAAGCCATTTGGCACTAAATCTGTTGCCCTTGAATAAGGTATTCATCTAACTATTCATTAGAATTGATTTCCTTTCCAACTTAAAAGCAATTCATCTTTACTCGTGATTTGCATTCATGACAGTGTTCGCAAAATCGAATCGGAATGGTTAACCAAACATGGAGTCAAAAGTGGTTTAACCGGTAAATCGGCCGATTCAACCGTTCTAATCGGGCAAATCCCAGGCTGTCAAAAAATTATAGAAAAAATAAAAAAGATACAAATAAAACCTACTAAAATATGAAAAACATATAAAGAAGGATTAAAACAAAACACATTCAAATGAAGTTGAAAATTAATGAAAAAAAAAATTTAAATAATCGATTTGTGTAAGGGTATGTTTTAAAATTTTTGAAAAAAATGGAAAAATATAAAATTGAGTATTAATGACCAAAACAATTTCTAATATTTACCATAATGTAAAGAATATTAAAAAAAAAAATAGTACAAACCAAATTCCTTATTTTGGGGATTTTATATACTTTTTTAAAAAAATTATTAAATTTCGGTCGATCACCAAAACCGCCCGAAACTGAAACCAGTCACTGGCTGGTTTCGATCTAACTGGGCGTTTACCAGTTAAATCGTTCTGTTGTTCCATCATGGGTTCATGATCGTTGTTATGCCCTATAGTGGTTACATACTATTACAGCAAATTGTCGGAGCAGACTTTTACACTCGTACATGGTCAATCCCCTACATCTTTTACAGGGCCAATATGGCAGCCGATGCACTTGCTAAGAATGCCTTGTTTAGTTCTGGAGCTACTATTTGACACTCTCGACCGTTAGATTTTATTTCTTTACTTTTACTTCATGACTTAGCGTAACTGCCCTATTATAGGGTTGTAAATTAATGAGTTGTTTTCCATCTTATTGTTTATAAATGGAAAAACGGGTAGGAGCTTTTTTATAAATGTAAAGACAGGTAAAGGGCTTTCCCCCCTTGTGAGTTACCCAACAAAAAAAAAATGTACCTATAAAAATAATGATTGTATAACACCGAACCGCTTTAAGGTATAGTGTATAACACAACCGTTATAACGTATAGTCCACAGCCATGTGCCCCTCCCTTTGAGAAAGGGACTCTTTGTCTCTCTTAACCGCACGCCTAAATTTTGTGGTCCCACACGTGTGGGCCACCATGTCTACCACAGGCCAACAGACCAAAAAGCTTCATCTTTTCTCCCACTTTTTTTTTTTTGTGAGTCAATGGAAACAAATGAACAGAGAAATACAAAAATCACGCCATGAATAACGGGGAAGAAAGACTGAGTTTACCCAATAATGTAAATGTTTTGCTGAAACCTCTCTCATTGATGAATAAAAGTTTCCGAACATTTGTAAAAAAGAAAAATAAAAAACAAGAGAGTTTAAATTTGAGCCTTTTTTACCATTGAAATTACTAATGTGATTTCGGCTTAAAATATATGTGAGTAGAAAAGGAAAAGTATATAAAGAAACTGTACTTTTAGAACAAAGGGATTATAGTTACTCTTGTCCATCAGATTTCAAATTGAGTGGTGAACATATGTCATTCATTAAACTCAAAATTTAAAAGAAAATTTCTCAAATTTCATGACATACCTTTAGTCATTGAGTAATTATAACCTTCATGTAAGAAAAATAGCTGGTGTCATAATATACAATCCGAATAAAATATCCATTGTCATTTTAAGGGACATAGGATCATACTACATATAAGTTTATGCAAGTTTCTAAAACTTGGTGAATGAATCGTTGCAATCTAAGTTTATGCAAGCTTCTAAAACTTGTGAATGAATCGTTGCTCGAACCCAAGTCAGAGCTCAAGAAATCACCTAGGGTTGTTAACTACAGTTAATCACCCGGTTCATTGTAGATTCTTTTTATTGAAAAAGTTGATATTGTTATATGCTATGTAATTTTCAGGAAATTCAAATTAATAGTCGTTAAAATTATTGGTACTTCACATTTTGAATTTTATGCTCATGTCCTTCTATTGTTTTTTTCAGTTCTGGATCTATTTGATTATTGAACTAATAGTCTTTTACTTTCTTTCCTTAATTCCTTACCATGTGCAGTTCAAAACCAATTGCTCTTCTCCAATTCCTTACAATGTGTCATCCAAAATTATTAATTCTAAACCATTTTGATTCTTTACATTGAGCTATTCAGAACTATGAGTTTGAGAAAAATAAAAAATATACAAAAAAAATTAAACAACAGAGTGAACTTCAAAACATAGTGGTAATCTTTTTTAAGTTCTTCTAAAGTTTTAAATACCTCTAATTGTACTTAAGTTTTCCTCATCTTTTGGGCACCTAAAATTTCAAAAGTGAAAAGCTAGGGATGGCAATGGGCTGGGAGGCCCGGCCTAGCCCTAAAAATCTAGGGCCTGGGCCACAAAATTGTGGCCAAACAGCCAGGCTTGGAATAGGCCAAGACAAACCAGCTCGATTTGGCCCATTTTAGCGTGCTCCAGCCTTTTTTTTTTATAGATATCTTTTAAATTTTTTTCCTTAAAAATTGCCAGGTCCAACCCTCAGGGGAATGAGGCCGGGTTAGGCTAAAGGCCCAAGTCAGGTTGAAATGTTAACTTTGATGGAAGTTACCCGGGTAATCTGGGGGTAGCGGTATAGAAGGTGTATTGCATGATTCTTTTGGTGAAGTTATTTTTGCCTTTCCAGAGTCGGTTGGTATAATCACTGCAAATCACACAGAGCTACTTGTCGTGCTAGAAGGTTTGAAAGTTTTTATTTTGAGAAACATTAGCAATTCATGTGTGATTGAGGGTAACTCTATGAATGTTATTTAATAGTGTAATAAAGAACATCGGGTTCTTTGAGAGCGGAGGTTTTATTGGCAGCGACCTAGTGGAACCGTTGTATATCGCTTTTCTTCATTTTATATAGGGAGGTAAATTCTTTGTTTTAAGTTCTTTCAAAAAAAAATGTTTGTAGGCCTTTGGGCATGATAAAGGGTACACATGTATACAGCTGCCGTTTGCTGATAAAAATGAGAAAAGAACAGAGCAATATGAGTTTGCCGTCCACACATATTTTGCTAAGAGACAGCTGGCCTGAGCCATCGCATCACGCCATTACCATGTTAGTTCCAACGCTACAATAAATTCCCAACAATGCAATAATATCAATTTCAAAAGCAAATGTTAGTTCCAACACTATGATAATATCCCAACAATGCAATAATATCAATTTCAAAAGCAACAAAAATCCATTAGAGAAGGGTGTGGTTTCTATAAGGTTGTAACTTTAACCTTAAACAATCCAATTAAGTCGCACCTTCAAATTTTATTCAAATTTTATTTAATTAAATCGCACCTTCAAATTTTATTCAAATTTTATTTAATTAAGTCACACTTTCAAATTTATCATAATATATAATGTTGTTATAAAAAATTCTTGTGATTATCTTAAAATATATTTTTATATCTAATTAAAAAATTTAAAACTCTAAAAACAATTAAAATCAAGTAAATCTATGAAAAATATGAAAAATCTTGAAAATTGACGATCTAGATAATATGTTGCAAGATGTACTATTTTTAAGACTCAAAATTTTTTTATTCATATTCAACATCTCAATGTTGAGATGATCAATTAGAAGGTTTTTAATCGTTAAAACAACTTTTCCGATAAATTTTTGAAATGCATATGTGATTCTACATTTTAAGATTGCACCATGTATAAACTTTTTCCATTAGGGAAAGCCATTATTTTTTGCTAAATATTGCCATTATTTTTTTTGAATGTTGAATCCATTAAATTCTACATCTAAAGGCTAAAAATCCTTGTCCTTAGTAACAATAAAAAATAATCTCATAGTATAAAATCCGATATAACTTCTTAATATATATATCAGACTCTAAAAAACAAAGAGGGGAGGGAGGGAGGAAGAGGGAAGAGAGCCCACCACTTAAGGGGGAGAAGAGAGAGAGAGAGAGAGAGAGAGAGAGAGAGCACAACTCTACCGTTTTTGAGTTAATCATGTCACTGCTAAGATACAATACTTTCTCCCTTTACTATTGATAAGAATAAAGAGAAACATTGTTAAAAGGCCTGAAAACCCAATTACTGCAGTATGATATGTGAAAAATGTACAATGAACATCTGCAAATCTGCAGAAGAAAGAAAAAACAAAGCCTATAACGAATCTTTGAGAGACTGTAGATACACTTATAAAGAGGCATCCGCAGAAAGAATGGAGAACCGCAACTCCAAAATCTACCAAAAATTTATAAAAAATAAAAATAAAAAACAAAGGCAAACAAAAAGAGAGCTAGACCTCAAAATCACAGTTAATGATGTTAGAGAGAGAGAGAGATTCCTGCTTTATGGATTGATATTGCAGTCTTGTAAGTATGGTTGATTATAGTTGATGTATTTTTGCCAGTAACCACGAAACTTTGGCAACCCGATCTCAAGCCATGGTTTCAAGTTTCCATTGTAATGAATTGCAGCTGCTCGTTGTATGTCTCTCTGGTTCACACTGGGGTCATAGCCAAGGCCAAGAACGTGCCATCCCCGGTTCAAGGGGAAAGTCCGGTTATAAAATGTAATCAGGCCAGGCGGTAGAGTCCCCAGCTTCCACAGCTGCCTGTCATTGTTCTGCAGAGAAGAGAGAGAGAGATTCTTCAGTTTTCTCCATAGGAAGTATAAGAGAGTTTATAGAAAAAATGTACAATGAACATCTATAAAATATCAAGTCAATAGTAATGTAATAACAATTGATTTTAAGGATATGGGGATTCAATCCTAGCTCTATGAATGCAAGTTGATCGAGAAAGAAAACTAAGCAAAAGTTTCAGGACATTAGCTATGAGAAGCTAATTTACACGTGCAAACATGTCAACCCAGTTCAACATATATGCGATTCCACCACAAAAAAAGAACAAGACAGACATTTTTGCTCACGAAATTGTTGCCTTTACCGGTTTTTCAAGAGAACGAAAAGGAAAATTGGAGGCAGCCATTGACAAAACCAAAGGGTCTTGCAGCAAGAGGCCTTGTACGAGTTTTGATAAGAAAAGAAAAGAGTGAAGGACATGTGAGTAGAGTGCCTTTGATGAATTTCAAGTTCTTGGATATGTGTTTTGCTAGTAAGAGGGATAATATAAACCCAGTGAAGAGAAAACGAGATGGCAGGCTGCAGCCACTAGAAGGGAGAAAGTAAAACTCAAATTCTCTTACCAGTTTCTGCCATGAGTGGTAGATCTCTGTAATTTCCTGCTTCTTCCACTCCTTCAAATCAAAAATATTCATTCCAAAAGCCCACCCACATGCATGCGCTTCAAAATTCTTCGAAATCAAAGGGTTAGAGAAGTTGAGGTATCTATCAAAACGGTGAAAACTCTCTCTGCATGTCTCTACTGCACCATTGATCTTCCCTTTCAAATCGATCTTCCACAGTTGAGTAAGATCCCTTTGCACCACAATATCATCATCCAAGAAAAGTACTTTGTGAAGCTTTGGGAAAATCTCAGGCATATAGAATCTGAGATGATTCAATATAGAAAGATATTTGGGGTTCCGATATTTGAGATTGGAATCTGGGTTTGCACGATGGGTTCTAAAGTAGTAATCGATCATAGATGTAGAACCAAGTTGCTTTAGGACTGGACTGTAACTTGAATTCAGCCAGGTAAACTCTTCAACACTCTGAACTTGAATTGTAGCTTTGCCTGGAGGGTTAGCTATGAACCACATTCTCATTGCTGCATAGTTTAGCCTGTCTGTGACTATGTGGAAGACATGATTTCTAGGATCCTGGAAAAAAAAGACCAAGATAAAGAAATTCAAATACTTGGGATACTTTCAATCAACAAATTTCAATTGGTATAGAATTTCAATTCTTCGTAACACAAATTTGAACAATTAAACTTCTTTCCTTTTTTCCATTTGTAACAATAGTTCAACTATTTCATTGGGTATGGTTTCAGAAAATTGTGTAAATAGATAAAATAAAATAGTGCAATCCAACACCAAAGTTTACAGATATTAAATTCTTCAAAAAATAGTAGCGTACTAATACTTGCATAGATCATGAACTCTTCAGAATGCAGCAATTTACAAATAATTCTGAACATATAAACACACTTTTAGATATTTATCATAATCCAACTGGAACAATGTTCTAGCATGGTTAGGACATTTTGGCAAACAGCCAAAATGCATATAATCACAAGAGTGAACAAGGACTTTTTCACAAAATTAAGATCCAAAATTCTGCACTTCAAAAGTTCATTTTAAAACAAAAAATAATAATTGAAAAGAAGGGGCTCTTTTTCCAATCATGAAACCCAGATCCAATTCAGAAATTTAGATGATAGCACCCAAAATAAACAAAAACCTGAAGCACCAAACCCTGGTTTTTAGTTAACTATCATGCTAATCAGAATGCATGAGATAAAAAAAAAAATCAGAGATTCAGAAGATACATCTTATACATGCTGATTCTTACCCTGGCATTAGAAACAGTAGAATTTACAACCACTGCTGCTGCCAATACATTGTCTGAGAACAAAGCATAGTGATAGATATTGGGATTTTCGAGTTTCTCTTGATTTGGGAACTGCTGCTGAGTTGAGTTCAATGAGTAATACTCAGTTGTAAGGCGCAAGGGAAGACAATGTAGGCCTTTGGGTAGGGTTTTTGCAGACAGCTGCATCAAGAACATGCTTTGTTTCTTGTGAACTCGAAGCTGCTCCTCAGTTGAGTGCAAGATGGCACGCAGCTTCTTTATGACAGCAGCACAGTCATCCTGGATCTGCTTGCCCTTGGCCAATGTTTCTTCCATTGCCTTCAATTTATCATAAGCACTGGAGCAAAATTTAGCGAAGTAAGAAATAAAACAAAGAAGAAAGCAAAGGAGATCGAATAGCAAAAGAAAAACAATAGAAGACACATATCACAAACAACTTTTTTCTTTTCTTGATAAGGTGTAGCAGAAAAATTGTCTTTCCCTTTTTTATCAACATCATGATTAAAGAATTTAATTTCTTAATGAAATACGCAAAATTCTAGGTTAATAACTGTATTATTATTCTTACTGAAATTTCTGATTTTAGTTTGAAAAATTCCATATCTATTTTTAATGGCCTACAAGATCATCACCATCCGATAAAAAGATAGATCAGGAGAGTAGGACATACGAGAACAGGAAACGACCTGATGGTGGTTCTCACTTCGGCACATTTGTTTCACGGGAAGGAACTCTGGACTACCGCTTTCCCACATCTGTTTCATAGGAAAGTGGTAGTCACTGTAGTGTGTGGGAAAGTGCGTTCCCCATTTTTCAACGGTTCCCTATGCGTGCTATCCAGGGAAAGCGTACCTATGAAACAAATGTTCCCTATCTTTCCATCACTTCCCATTTCATTGGATGGTGATGATCCGCATGTACTACAGTTCTTCTGTAGTTTGTTGGATTATAATATATATTCCCAATCAAACTTTCGTCCATGTCCACCCAACATCCTGGTGATGAGGGCTTACTTGTAGCTCTAGGATTTATATGGTCATTATAATGATGTTGTATGATAGAATACTAGGTAAAATACGCACAAAATTAAACCAAAAATTAATCTAAGCTAAGGATAACACTCTAAATACAAACTCACCCCCTTGGAAGTTCAGAATCCTTGGTTGCATCACCTAGTGCTCTTTGAACCTCCCTGATGCGCACTCTAAGCTCCTTGATAAAGTGAGGGTTGCTTCGAGTCGTTCCGAGGCTCAGGTAAACCTTGGCCTTGATTAGTTGATCACGAAGATGATGGACACGAGCATCTGGCATAGGCTTCTTATTATCATTCTGCCTCTCGGGGCTGGGTTGTGAAGGCCCATCAGGATCAGATTTGCCAGACTCGATCTCTGGTTTGTCCGGTTCCTGAAGGCAAAGACACTATACCAAGTGAATTTTCTAACCTTAAAAACAAATGTATTTTCTATTTAACATTAATAATATTTCTTCGGTTAATAACAATATCAGAACTTGGTATTGTGTGTGTGGCTCAGTTCGTTAAATATGTCTGATGAGTAGACTTCTTGGACATGTGATTTTAAGTTTCTTAAATCCATAACAGCCAATGTCCTCCTATGTAAATACAACCTGAAAGGTCCAGTAGCAGCTATCAGAAATAATACCATTTCAACTCTGTAATAAACATGTCTCTTCTCCGCAAACGACAGCACATTATTTGCACATTATTTGCAACCATGAAGACAAAAGAACAAACCCAAGAACTAACAAAAAAAAAGAGGCCACCAATTCCTTTTGTCATGACTCCAAATATAACAATAGAAACTACTATATTGTTTTTAATGAGTGAACTGCTAAATAATCTATTTCCCAACCTTAAAGCATTGACAAATGAAGTGACATGCCAACCGCCAACACCAGTTCAACTCAAACTAACAAAGAAAAACATGGTACCAGTTGTAAGCAAATAGAATATAGCAACAATCACTTCTATCAATTTTTCTTACTCGTAGGCACTTATTAACCCCAAAAAAAGTAGGAGGATTAAGGGAATAAATAAAGCAGGAAAGAAAGCAGGAAAGAAAGCTAAACAAAGAACCACTCTAGAACTTGTCTATGGTGAGAAACAAAAAATAGCATATCTTTCCATCAGCGATCATAATAGTCCAGCCACAGCAATGACATGTAGGGTAGGTATCAGAAATCATACTTTTTCTGAAAACAAATGAAAACAGAAGGATCTTTCCACAAGTCGTACTTCAGCATGTTTACAATCAACCCATTACACATATATGACTTTAGAAATTTAAAATCTTAGAACTATATAATACGATGGCAAAAAGAATAAAAAAATTAAACCAAGAATGTTACCTGTTTCTCTGCATCAGTTCTGGAACTCAGCCCAATTTCCTCTTTTATAGAGGCATCTTGATGACCAAACTGTTCCTCTCTTTTCGCACCTATTTTCTGTTCATTCGACTGCAACAATACCTGTTGGCTTTCTTCAATGGTCTCAGCCTGAGAATCACCAGCAATTTCTTGCCCATTTTTCTCTTCACGGTGAACTTTATCTATTACTTGCTCAATGTGTGTTTCCACTTCCAATGGTTTAACATTTGATTGCAACACCCTAGATCTTGCCATTTTTGGTTCTGTTAATTACAAAATTAATTAAGAGTTCTGAACAGTGTCATAATAATAAACAAAACCCCAAACAAGCATAAGTACCAATCATGATTTTGAACATGGATCATGAATGTGATATTCGCGGTTGCAATAAATAATCCTAATTTTAAAAACAACATTGATATAAAAAATTTACATTTTGTTGGCAAGAGGGCAAGCATTTATGTACACCAACAAAAGGTGTTAACCATCACAATCATAGCATGACCACATCAATGAATCACAACAACAAAGGGAAAAAATTGAAGCAGATGGCCTAACCTTGTCCTTTTCCTATGGAGCACAGCTACAATAACCAGCTTCTTCGTAAACATAATTTTAACCATGATCTTTAATTTCAACCAAAATTCAATTACCCACAACATGAAACTAAAAACAGGGAGTTAACCCCAAACATCACCAGAAGTCCAGAAGAATTCATTTGTAAATTTTGGTCAAAAATTGAAAGCAGTTAACCCAAATTTCATCACATCGCACCTAAAAACAACCATACAGAAGGAAAAGTTAAAGAACAAAAGAACAAAAGAAAAAAGAAAAAGGAAAAAGGAAAAGATAAGGCGTAAATCTCAACTACTAATTCCCATAAATATTATTCTTCAACATTTTCTTATAGCTTTTGAAAACCAAATTTCAAGCATTTTTCATCCATTAGACAAACAAATTCAATCCAACATTATGATTTCAAAGAGAATTTTTGTTTCATACTAGAGTAAGAAATGAATCAGAATAACAAAATTGTAACGCAAGATTATATATAAAGAGTGTCCTCAAAGTATACCTTCTTTTACAGAGATGGCCTCTGAAGGGTCTTTATCTGACAAATAAACAACCCCACTTGGTTCCTTCAATGCATTAACAGATTCCTGTACACACATAAAGCATAGAACAAAAATCTAAAATTTTCCATTTTCTCTTGATTTATCAACTGACCAGATTTTCAAATTCAACTCTATATAACCAAAATTAAAAGACTCAAATTCTATAAAGGAAATGCAGACCGTAAAGAGTGAAATACCTGAGGAAGAACCTTTAATTTGTTAATGTCCCGCCCATAATTCTGAAAGGAGATAAATTAAAAAGGATAATTATCAACAAATGGGACAATAATAAACCCCTAAAGAAGCAAAAAGTAACTTTCCTACAATTTCCATTGCTTTTTTGTTTTTCTGTTTCTTTTTTGAAACGTCTGGTAAAGACAAGTATAACTAATCAAACTTACAATTGGGGAAAATTCCTCACTGAATCCAGCCTTTGCTGCAAAGAATATTTGGAACAAAAGAGAAACGTTTCATCAATTTACAGGAAAAAATAAATCTAAAAAAAACTCAAAACTACATGCATTTGCTGAATAAAGAAAAACACAACATTTTCTCATTAAATTCCTGTAATTTTCTTTAATTTTTTGTAATTTTTTAAACAAAGGCTTACCTATAGAACTGCTGAAGCTTCCCAATCTATCAGTGTAAAGAACTATTGGAGCCAGTACACTAAAGCAAAGCAAGAGCAAAACAGGCATTCTAAACTTCATCTTTCGCTTCGATCCTTTCTTTTCACATAAAAAAAACCTCAAAAAACCACTGCTCCTCCCTTTGTCACTTTGAAGTGCTTTGCCAAAACCTAATCCAATATCTTTCCCAGAAATCGCTTCACCGAGCTATCGATTAAGAAAGAAATCTACCCCAGATCTTTCTCCTCAACAGAGGCTTAACAAAACAGCCAATATCCAGTCATCAAAGCCAATGCCGCTCTTCACAAAACCGCTCAAACCCTAGCTAACAAATCAAATGCTGATCTTCTTTCACCAAAACGCTTTCAAGGACCTCCAAATCCAGGATTACCAAAGGATACATGCACAAGAACACAAACTCAAGCCTCTTCGTCAAAAAAAAGAACACAAACTCAAGCCTCTGCAACTTAAACCACTCAATTCAAGGGCAAACCAAAACACCACCAATCTCCACCAGAAACCACCGTTCAAACCGCTTTTTCCTCACTTCACATAAACAGCCGGTTTCAAGAATAAAAGAACGCCCTTAAGAATCATCATTCCACGAGAAGGGATAATTTGCAGGCAATATGAAGGAGAAATGCAGATATAGTCCGTACCCTGAAACCGCTTTCGCTTAATAAAACTGCCTTTCCATGCACAAAACCACTTTTCTCGAAAAGTAGCGGTAATGGCTTGTTTATCCGAGAAATGAAGAACAATCCATAAATTCCTTCCCCCTCTACAGCCTGTGAAATTGAGAACTAGGATTTTTATAAAACATAAATGACATAAAATGGCCTTCTTTGAATATGAATGACGGTAAAGCCCCTGATCTTTACATGACCGTTATGCCGTCATTGAAAATCGCGTTAAACTTCAACTTAGAAAAGTGTACCTGATGATCCCGCAGGTCAACACTATACTTATTTTTTAGGACCTAAATTCACAGACTTGAAGCAGAAACGGAGTTGTGGTTATTGAGATCGAAATTAAGTCTCTCTCAAAATTTAGGGCGGTAATGAGCCAGTAGATTCACAAAAACTTTTCCATAAAGAAAATTCATCAAAATATACAAAAAAATACATGTAACAATTCATTTCAAACATATATATAAGAAAACACTAAAATTCCACTTTTTTTAATTTAATTCCAAAAATTTCATAAAAATGTACATGATATCGAGTTGGAATAGTTAAAAATAGCGAAAATGTCAAATAGTTAGTAAGTCAGGTTTATTGTGATAAATTGCTCTTTTCATTATTCCTTATCTCTTAAAACTCTATAGTAAACTTCATAAAATGGACTCGTAAGATTTTGAAATAGGAACTAATTTAGAGTATTACCTTGAGTTCCAAATTAATATTTAAAATATACTGATATAACAGATAATAAAGACTGAGATAAATTAAGATGACTTTTGTGTCATGGGACCTGTCAAATGCTCTTCAAAGCTTTCTTTGGTTTGGTTAGAAAAATAAAGAAATTTGGTACTTCAGTCGATTTGGGAAAAATTTTGGACTTTTAAAAAAAATTAATATCAATAAAATATATTTTAAAAATAATCAACAATTCAAAACCAACATTTCAAAAAAAAATAAACAAAAAAACAAACATTTTTTGTTTTAGCCAAAAATTCAGCCAAAAGTCAGACTAAAGCGGCCTAAAACTGATCAAAGCGGTTGCACTAATAACTAAACTTCAATTTGCTTCAGTCTAGCCCTAAAATCTAAAGATTTCGGCCTTTTCGGCCAAGAGATTTTGATAACACTGGCAAGAGACTACCCGTAAAGGGCCTTTTTATTTTATTTTTTATTTTTTATTTTTTTTTTGGCAAAACGTACGTTACATATAGTTGATAGTTCTGAATCCGCAGGACTACCAAATATTTTCTCTATTATAATTCGTCTTATTCTTTTCGCACCGAAACCATTCTATAACTGCAAGGGCATTTTGGTCACCTTCTAAACTCTAGCAACATTAAACACGGTTCACAAACGTCTTAGATTTCGGCCTATTCTCTCCCCAAAACTTCGGCAACTGATTGAGATTTCGTCAACACTGTTTATTTCGGCTAAATTTCGGCGGCCGAATTGACACGGCGTTACTATCCCATAAAAGGAGGGAAAGCTGGAATACGTACTGCTAATGTTAGGGATATTTAAGTCATTTGAGGATTTTAAGCCCTCCAGCAGCGCTAGCTCAAAGTGAGCTGGATTTCCAAGTCATCTATGAATTACACGTGTACATATCTCCTCCGTTAGATCAGATGATTTAAACCACGTAAGGCACTTGTCAGTTACTTACTGAAACGAAAAACGTGGATACGTATTTCGTCGACACAATTGAGCAAGTGTCGGCGGGGGCAACGCATTGATTTATGATGGGTGCATGTTAAATGGGGACCATTTTCTATTCTTTTTTCACTTTTTAAATTTTTATTGGTTTATTTTATTTTCAGAGTTTATCTCAAAATTTAGAAAAATAGGGGGAAAATTTATTCTAAAAAAGGAGGGCCAGTGAGACGTTATGGTGAAGGGATGTATATGAAATCATTCCTGATTGGTTGATTAGTGGTACACGTGGCCATAATTACTTTTATAATTTTTATATATTTGATTTATTTTTGTGCCAAAAATAAATTATCCTTTTAAAGATATAGTTGCCCTCAAAAAGTACTAATCATTCGATATTATTTTAATCTTGAGGAGAAAAACAATTAATAATAGAAGATATAAATGATCACCATTAAAACTGATACGAATTTTTAAAAAAATTATTATATAGGTGTGAAACTAAATTTTTTTATAGATCCGTATCAAATTTAATGATGATCCTTTAGAGTCCTACACATGGGTGTGGGAGAGCCTTACAAAGTCATTATATATATATATAGAGAAAAAGCTCAAAAAAAGTGGTTTTAATATTGAAAATCTTTTTGACAAACTTCAAATATATCTTTATCTTTAACTATAAAATTTAAAGCTTAAAAAAAAATGTAATTTGAGCATATCTATAAAACTTTAAAAATCTTGAAAATTGACGATCCAAAAATACATTACAAAATGCACTATTTTCAAAACTCAAAATCCATTTTTTTCTTATGTCTATACATCTTCATCTCGAGGTAATCAATTTAGTGATATTTGAGTATCAAAACAACATCTTCTAGTAAAAATTTTAATCTAGGCTCTAATTTTGTTATTTAAAGCTTCAATTCTATATAAATTTTTTCCTTTAAGAAAGTTTACGTATCGAACAAACACTAAGAGTTAAAAAGAAAGATATATAGAATTGTGTAGTATGACCATCTATCATATATAGAGGTCATAATCATAGTCATTTTCACTTGCATGTCGAATCAGGCATTTGGGTTTACGACCTTGACATGCTTAAGGTTTAAAATAAAATTTCCTAAGCTTATCGCACACCCTAAACCAACAAATATCACACTCAGCCACAAGAACAAACTTAAAAACTCTAAAAACAAATTTTGTTAAGCTTATCTGAGACCCTTGGTGGATGCTTAACCAGGAAAAAAAGAAACAAAAAAAGGTTTTTTGAGCTTATGATAAACCCTAAGCTATCAAATATCACCTCATAATTAGGGGTGGCAATAGGTCGGATCCGATTCTATTGCCACCTTTATATATGTGTTATAACTAAATATATATAATTATATTTATTTAAATATTATAAATTAAATATTATTTAAATAATAACACCATTTGAATCAAATATTTGAACTTGATTTTAACCTATCTGATTTAATTCTTAGATCCATACCCAAACTCAAGTCAGGTCTCGGGTTGAGTCAAGTCCAAATATGGATCCATTTCCACCCCTACTCATATGTGACACTCGGTAGTGATTTTGATTTCATGTCTTACAGGCAAACGTTATTAAATTTTGTGGGAACAAGCTTAAAATATTTGACATCTAAAATCATTATTGAAAAAAATAATGCATAGGGATACGTGCAAAATGCATAAACACGTGCGATGGATGTTAAGTTTAGTTACCCTTGGGAGGCGTAAAACGAGAAACAGAGGGGCTTCCAAGACTTTCTTTAATGTAAGTCCACTTTTCGATTCAATGAACCACCTAAATAGAAAACATAGAAATTAATTAACATTTTTTACAACAAAAATTAGAGAATCCTTGGACTCCTTTACTCAGTGCAAGATAGAAGTTTGGTGTTTTGATGTGTCGAGCAAGTGTGAGGAATAGTTCCTTAAATGTTGTTATTTATCTTCAAATTATCAAGGAAATAAAATATGTTTCTTAAATTAATAAAATACACACACTATAAATTTTTCAGTAAAACTATAAACTCAAATGTCATAATATCAATTGTCATTGATATGTACACACAATTAAATAACTCAAATGTGGCCCCTTGAACGCTTTTGTTTGGAAGCCAAAGAAACATAGGGGATCTTAAGGTTATTGAAGCATTTTGTTTGTAAAATAAAATACCATTTATATTAGAGATCCAAGAAAACCATGATAACTAACATATTTGTGCCGGATAAAAGTTAACTTTTAGAGAACTACATTTCATGAGGTTTTAATCCTATGAATTAAATTGTTGATAAGAAATTGCATAATCATTGATTAAACAATTTTAAGAAAAAACATAAATTTGAAATAGAAAGTATAAAAACCCAATTACAATCATCATCATCATCAAACAAGAGGTTTTAATGCTATGAATTAAATTATCTATTAGAAATTGCGCGAGTCAAGCAATTAAAAAAAAAAAAAATTGATATAAAAAGTATAGAAGCCCAACTAAAATCAGCATCAAACCTTTTTTTCAACTATTTAGGGTCGACTACATAAATCTTGGTTTATTATTCTGCTCTATTAAAAGTTAATACTCTCAATGACGCTATAAGTTCTCATATTTTTTTCTCATTGTTTCCAACCATGTCTTTTTGGGTCTAACCCTTGTTCTTTTTTAGCCTTTCACTTTAAACAACGTACACATCCTAATAAGTATAATATTGGATCTATGTTGAACATGGCAAGCCCACCTAAGTCTATTTTCTTTCATCTTATCGCTTATTGGAGTCACACGTAAGTTCTCCTGAATGTATTTATTTCGAATTATATCCTTTTTTATCTTGCCGTTCTTCTATCTCAATATCCTCATCTCAGCTTACACTAGGATATATTGTTTTTTTACCTCCCAACATTCTGTCCCGCATGGCAAAGCTGCTCTCATAGTTGTACTATAGATCTTTTCCTTCATGTTTCTTGGTATGCGATGATCACATAAAACTTCAGTTGCACTTTTTCACTTTATCCACCCAGCTTTAATTTTATGTGCGATACGTTTCTCAATCTCTTCATTTTCTTGGATTGTCAACCCAATATATCAAAAGTGTGTACTTTTTGGTATTCCGTGACCGTCAATCTTTACTACTTCCTCGTCTCTGCTCCTATTATTACTAAATTTGTATTCTATATACTATGTCTTAATTCAGTTAATTTTAAAACATTTAAATTCTAGAGCATCTCTCCAAAATTCTGACTTTGTGTTAATGCTTCAGGTCATCAAAACTATGTCGCCTGAGAACAACATACATCATGGTATCTTATCTTGAATGTGTCTAGTTAAGCCGTCCATAACTAAGACAAGGGGGTCCAGGCTCAATACTTACCCCTGAAATAGACCTATTGTTACTGAAAACTTACGTACCTCTCCACTAATTGTTTGTACCCTAAGTCATGCTCCTTCGCACGTATCTCTAATCACGTTGATATAGAGAAATCCAACTAAAATGCAACTCTAAAATAAGAGTCTAGATAAGCAGTCCAACTACTTCAAAAGAAAAATGGACGTTCAAATTGTATTTGACTCCATTAAATACACACTGGAAGTGCATAAGTAAATGAAACAAAATTTACGTTAGTCGAAACACTTGCCCCCGTTTTTTTCTCGATGTTTAGGTATTTGTTTAGGAATGGTATACTATAACGTCATTTATTTTTGAATAAAGAAGTTGTAATGCCATTAAATTTAAAATTTGATGGATTGAAGTGTGTCACAATATTTTTTAAATTCTATTTTCAATTTTATGCCCAATTAATAATTTATCCCCAACAGCCTAATTTCATATCAAATGGTCAATATGACTGTCAACCCCTTATATCGAAATTAAATGGTTTTATTGTATATATTTTCATTTATTTAACTATATTTTTTGCACGTGCTTCTTGGCCCTAACAAACGAGTGAGGAAAAAAATTTCGAAAAAAATATAAAAGATAATTCTTGATAAAAGAGAAATCAGGTTTAACATTTTATTTTGATGCATTGTTTTTTTTTTTGCCAAAAGATTTTCGACTCCTGCATAATGTTACTATTAATTTCCTTCGTCAGGTAAAATACATGCTACATATAATTTTTGAATCTGAAAATTTTGGGGTGTGACTTTTACAACCCATAGAATAATCTCGGCAAAAAAATTTCTGAAATACGTATCACAAAACTTAAAACTCAAATTTTTATATTTTAAAAATAATCATCTAGTAATTATTATGTGTTTGATGAATAGTCCATTAAATAATTTTTAAGAGTATTGCTATCTGCACCAATGTTTTTCATCAATCCATATGCTTTATTGCATCCTAGCAAAGCTATTTTTCCAGGAACAGTAAAGGGAGAGAGAGATTACAAACGGCACTTCTTAAAAGGAAGAGGTTGAATTTGTTCAAAATTCTTAAAAAAGGAGAGTAAAAAAAGGGAAAAAAAGAAAACCATTCTTCAAGAAACGTACACGCTAGAGAGAGAGTTGCTGCCATTTCAAATACAGCACATTTTAAAAAGAAGAGCTTGAACCTCTTCAAAAAGTAGTAAATAAAAAATAAAAAATAAAAACCCAAAAAAAGAGAAAAAAAAAAAAAAACATTCTTCCAAAAAACTACATGGAAAAGTATCTCTTAACCCCTTTTGATTAAGCAAGCACTTGACCTAATAATAAAACCTACAGTATAGTGGTAAAAACTTGCCCATGATACTTAATATACAAGGGATGTACATATTTCAAGTGATCAAATTAAAAGAGTCCAACAAATTGTGTACTCAAAAAGCCAAAAAGGCAAAGGGAAAATGAATGCCCATCTAAGGTATTATGTATACACTGACCTACAAATCTCATGCACTCTCCTTTTTCAACAACCTTTTCCTTAAAAACACTCCCATTTTTCATTATTGCTCTGTTGGGGACCCCCATATCCTCCATATGTGTACCTATGTGACTCTCTATATTTTGAGTGTCGGTGCTCCCTCTCTCTCTCTCTCTCTCTTCTAACCAAGATCGAAAAAATCGGACCAGTGGATTGAACTTGTTATCTGGGTTGTGTTAGATCAGCCCATTCGGCACGTCTGATCGGTCTTAAAAGTACCAAAGAAAAAGGTTTTGTGGAATAAAAATGGCAAACGAAAAAAAGAGAAAAAAACTTAAAATTAAATTACCCATTATAGATGAATAATTTAAAACTTTACCTATATTTTTTATTTAATTTCAAAATACCCATAAAAATCATATGATATCGAGTTAGAAGAGTTTCAAATGGTTGGAATGTTAAATAATTAATCTCTTATAGATATTTTAATGAATTTCATTTTTTTTATTTCATCTAATAGGGGTATGGATCAAAATAAATAAACACTTATATCGAAATAAAATATCGAGCTTCAAATGAAAAAGAAAACCCATGTTTGACCTTTGGTTGTGTCTAATTGGAGCTATAGATCTAAAAAACTGATATACATCTTATAGTGTAGTCAAAAAAATTATCAAAATCGTGTTTCTTTAATGGAAAATAAATAAAAAGAATGGAGGAGAATCAAAGAAAATCGAGGAAGAAAATATAAAATCAATCTAAGAGATTTTTTTTTATTTTGATTTGGACTTTACTTTTTTAGGTTTTGTAGATCAATGTGAGAGGAACAATTTGGGACAAATTTGAAAGAATTTGGTAAAATAATGAGAGAGAAATCAAAGGTATTTATTTAGGCTTCAAAAACTCTCTACTCTATTTCTTCTCTTTTGGTTTTCTTCTTTTGAAAAAATGTTCTATGTTGTTTCAAAATACATTTCTGCCCTGAATTATAAAATATATAGCTAAAAAATTGATGTAGTTTGAGTACATAAAAAAAAAAAAAAAAAAAAATCTAGATAATATATTACAAGATGGACTATCTTTATTACTCAAACTCAAAATTATATATCTAACATCTTAAAGTTGAGATGATCAATCGACGAAGTCAAAACTACCTGGTTCTTAAGGTGCATCTCACGTCTATAACATAGAGTTACATCTTATATTAAACTTCTTCCTTCATTGAAGTTTGAAATTTGTGGTTTGGCTGAAATAGTTGGAAGTTTTGTTTGTACTTTGTAGTGTTTGTGAATTGGGGGTGGTGTCGGTTCTAACTTATTTTCCTCAAAATAACTTGAATCCCCTAAACAGAACCTCAAAACTTTTGTCATGGCCTCTTGAATTTTCATGGCCTCTGCTCTTTTAGGTTGTAGATCCTTATCTAGCTCAACTTTCTTATATTCTCACTCTTTAATTCAACTTCTCTCTAAACCCAACAAAAACCCCACCTCAAAAACCAGATTTCAATCTCTAAACTCTGCCTCTTTATCCCTCTTAGAGGACATCAGAAACCCCATATTATTAGAAACCAGGTTTCAGCCTCAAAACTACTCTTTTTCTCTCGTAGAGGATACCAAACACTCCCCTTCAGAGACAAACTTTCAGGGTCCAAAAGGTTCATCTTTATCACTCTTAGAAGACACCAAAAACCCCGATTCAGAAGCCAGGTTTCATACTCTAAACTCTTCGTCTCCGTTACAAGATACTCAAGACCGAGTCTTTTTTACTGATGATATTGATGCATACACTTCTCTCGTAGACAATTCTTCCCATATCAAACACCTGAAACAGATCCATGGGCATTTTCTCTCTCTCGGGCTTCAAAAAACCATATTTTTTGCAGCAAAATTCATCAATGCCTGTTCAAAATTCAATGAACTCAACTATGCATGCCAGATATTCAGTGAAATTCCACAAAGGAGTAGCTTCCTTTGGAATGCAATGATTCGAAGCTATTCTCAGCATAGCTATTATGAAAAGACACTTGAATTGTATGTTAAAATGCAAGAAGAGGGCGTCAGACCAGACGGGTTCACCCTCCCTTGTGTCCTCAAAGTCTGCACTGGACTCTCGGATTTAAATGTGGGTCGAGAGCTACATGCTCAAATTTTCAGGCTTGGGTTCGAATCTGATGTTTTCGTGCAAAATGGGCTCGTTGCCATGTATTCAAAGCATTCGCAACTATGCAAGGCTTTCTCTATCTTTGAAAGAATACATAGCAAGAGCGTAGTTTCATGGACTTCCATCATTTCGGGGTATGCACAAAATGGTTTCCCCTACAAAGCTCTACAAATTTTCAGAGAGATGAAGCGTTCGAGCACCGAGCCTGACTTTATCTCTCTGGTGAGTGCACTGAAGGCCTATACAGATATTGAAAGCCTAGACCAAGGAATGTGTGTTCATGGGTGTGCAATCAAAATTGGGCTTGAAACCGAACCCGATTTGCTCATAGCATTAACAGCTATGTATGCTAAATGTGGTGAAGCCAAACTCGCGCGGTTGCTATTCGATATGGTCTCAAACCCATGTGTTATATTATGGAATGCCATGATTTCTGGCTATGTAAAGAATGGCTTTGCTTACACAGCCTTAGGACTTTTTCGAGAAATGATTCATTCAAAGGCCATACCAGATTCGGTTACTATACGCTCGGTGATTCTAGCTTGTGCCCAAACTGGATCTGTAGACTTGGGCAAATGGGTTCACGAATTCGCTAAAAGAACCCAATTGAATTCGGATGTGTACGTGATGACCACACTCATAGATATGTATGCCAAATGCGGGTGTATAACAATAGCCCGAGAGCTCTTCGATGGCATAATTGGGAAGGATGTGGTTTTATGGACAGCCATGATTATGGGTTATGGCATGCATGGCCATGCTCGAGAGGCTCTCGAGCTATATCGAGAGATGAGACATATGGGCATGGTGCCTAATGATGTCACATTTATAGGGCTATTATGTGCATGCACCCATGCAGGCCTTGTAGAGGAGGGATGGAGGTTCTTTGAGAGCATGAAGAGAGATTATGGTATAGAGCCAAGGCATCAGCATTATGCATGTATGGTCGATCTCATGGGTCGAGCTGGTTATGTACAAGAGGCATATGAGTTTATCATGACCATGCCTATGGAGCCTGAGGTCACAGTATGGGGAGCTCTGTTGAGTGCTTGTAGGGTTTATCGGAATGTGAGGTTGGGTGAATATGCGGCAGAGAAGGTTTTTGCAGTCGATCCGAGAAATGCAGGGCACTATGTCCAGCTTTCGAACATTTATGCAGAGGCAGGGATGTGGGATTGTGTCGAGAGGGTGAGGGTCTTGATGAGAGAGAGGGGGCTCATGAAGCCTGAGGGGCTCTCAGGATGCAACGCTTTGTGAAGATTTATAGGGGCATGGTTATGTGATATGATGCCCCTTCGTAACGTTTTATGTTAATCAGTAGAAGTGGCCTCAATTTGAGTTGATGGAATTGACCCCTTCTTAATGTTTTATGTTAATTAGCGTGTGGTTTCAATTTGAGTTGATGGACTTCTTTCTAGTGTTTGAAAATTTGAAAAATCGAACCCGCCTTGGAAACTGGCCAAGGGCCGATTCGAGTAATCAGTAAACCAGCTGTTCAATCGGTCTAACGGGGCAAATCCCAACCGGTCAAAAAAGTGTTTAAAAAAAAAAAAATGACAAGTATATTTAAAACATGATTAAACAAAACATATCCAAATGGAATTGAAAATTAATGTAAAATAAAGGATTTTTAAAAATTGACTTGTACTCAAAAGTAATTTTGAAATTTCTAAAAAAGATAGAAAAATATATTAAAAAAAATATTCATAATTAAAACACTTTCCAATCCGTATCAAAATAATAAAAAACATCTTTTAAAAAAACCCTTATTTTTGAGATTTCATATAATTTTTTTAAAATTTTTTTTTAAAATACACTGCCAAATCATCTAAACCAACCAAAATTGAAACTAGCCTATGCCTAATTTTGATCTAACCAGCCGGTTCCAAGATTAGCCAATCGAGTTTGCGAACACTGCATTACTCTCTCTCACTTTGTTTTTGAACTTTTATTCCAACAATGTTAAATGACTTCCCATCAAATGTATTCTATTATAATGGGAACAAAAATAAATGAGATTGTCTACAAATAGACATTTGTACATAAAAGCCACAATCATTTTATCTCTTTATCTCTTAAATTTCAAAATGAATGATTGTAAAAACATCATTATATAAACACAGATTTCAAAAAAACTGAATTCTTAAACTTCTCGACTCACCCCAAGCCATCCAATTTGCCATATAATAAATGAGAATTATCGTAACCTCCATGTACTAAAGATATATTGTCAAAAGATATATGGTCGTTTGTTGACAATCCCAAAATAAATATATAAGCTAGAAAACAATCTCATCTGTCGACAATACCAAAATAAATATATATGATAGAAAACGATCTCAATATGTGGCTTCACTCATGGCTTCGAGTCTCAAAATCTGAGAGAGAAGAAGAATACAGATTGACGAGATTCACAAATCATGATGCAACTTAGCGGACACCCAAAGTAATGTAATTCGGAGAGTAATATATGGTTGAAATGGTGATATCCCTACTCTAGAATAAACAAGCTAGGAAACTTTTGGAGATCGAGAATAGAACCGGAGCGGAAGTAGAAATTTTAGCTGTCCAGCCACCAAGCCATTTGCAAAGAGAGAGAGAGAGAGCATGTGCCCCAGAAAATAGACACCAAAAAGGCGGAACGCTCTTAAACCACCAAAATGCCACAGCCAATATATGTATCCATAAACGTGTATGCTTCAAGATAAGTGAAGAAGAAACATGCTAGGCCTCAAATAAAGATTCTCTTCAAAATGTCTACAATATACATCAACATAGTACTCAATTGCACGAGAAAAACTGTAGACTTTGGTAACCAAGAAATCAACGGCCACGGCCGCGTCCACGCCCACGCCCACGTCCTCGGCCACGCCCAAGAGGTCTCCCTGATGAATCAACCGACAATCATACAGTGATAGACATCCATTATAGAGAGAGGGCAGCCAGCAAAAATAAAGAGATAAAATAAGTGATTTATCCACAAGTGTGTGTGCAGGCATTCCAGAGAGAGAGAGAGTGAAAGAGAGAGAGAGGGAGATGGCATTCAAGGATGATAGATGACTAAAATCAATAGAGAGAGAGTGAGAGTGAGAGTGAGAGAGAGAGGGAGATGGCATTCAAGGATAATAGATGACTAAAATCAATAGTATCACATTAGAAAGAAACCATGAATAATAGATGACTAAAATCAACAGTATCACATTAGAAAGAAACCATATACATGGATAAAACAGTGTATCCCACAAGAACAAACACATACATTTGTGACATGATAAACGGTCAGGTCCGTCAGCAAGCATGTGTGTGAGATTGCAAGAGAGAGAGAGAAAGAGGGAGGGGTTACCTGCAGTAGGCTTCTTGGGTTTGACTCGAGGTGTCTCCTCAACCAAAAGAGTCTCGAGGTTTAGACTATCAGGGAGGATATAGTATCGTATGTTGTTGCCCCTCACACTAAGGTGATCAAGGGTCACCGGATTCTTGCCTTTCAGTGTCAACTTCACCGTCTTAAGATGTGTGTTCATACTGATATCCACTCCTGTAACCATCAAATAACACATATTATCTGCCATAGTTCCTGTTATAGAGTGCTGCATAAGCATTGTAAACAAGCAAGAATTACATGGGCTTATCCTGCAACCAATCCTAACTGGTATAAAAAAACACTCATCACAAGAGAACACTTAGAAGCACCAAGCGCTGCATAAAAATTCCCAGCAACATGTTTCTTTTATTTTTCTTTCATTTTTATCTTTCGTCTGTCTCTCTACACAAGTGCAAATAAAGAGCACGCGTACATGTGTGTGTGTGTGTGTGAGAGAGAGAGCGAGTGAGAGAGAGAGAGAGAGATCAGGCAATATCTGAACATCAGTTATATAAAATATAGATCAATGGAAGCCACGAAAGCAACTGTTATGCAAAGCAAAGTCACATGTCAAATGACTACATGGAGAATGTAAAACTCCTTCAACACTTCAGACTACTGAGAGGAGGGAGAATCAAATCTTTCCTATTGAAGGGGAGTAAGGAATGCAAGTTGGCATCAACTGTTGAGAGAAGCAGAATGACGTGCATCTCCCCTGATGAAGAGAAAAGAGAGGAAACCAGTTGATATACTAAAACAGAATGATATCTTAGTGGACATGCCTAAACCCTGAAATCTTATTTCTTTTCTTCCTTTAAATTAAGTATGGGTGATCATGCTTCAAATTCAAACCCTAATCAATTATTGCTTCCAGTTATTTCAACTCAAATAGTGAATATGGACAAATTAACTAAAACAATCATAGGGAAGCAACGATAAAGGGTAGTTGACCCACTTTAAAATTTAGAACATTCTTTTGAGGCTTACCACTCAGTCAACATATGATAGCCAGTATTTATCATGGAAAGCATCCCTATGGTATCCAAGAGTCGGTAGCCTTTAACTCTTGTACAGGGAAGCGTGCTAAAATCCAATGACCAATGGAAAACCATCATCCATTGGGAACACCATCCAATTATATGATGTATGAAGAGAGGCTGGGACACAAAGTTTGCATCAACAAATCAAACCATGACGTTAACAATAGACACTGTCCTTTCACCTTACTTTGTTTAATCACTTTGGTGTAAGCTGTATATAGTGCCTGCCCTTCTCCCCCAAATACACAAAACCTTTTCTCCGGCTATCTGCCACTTATAGTGCACTGCTTTATCTGGGTCTGGTCATTACACTTGCTTAGCTGCAAGTCAACCCTAATTTTCTTTATTTTTGCTCACTAATCAGATTGACCTTATGGCTCAGTCCCATAGGCTTAGCACCTTTTCCCTATTTCTTTTCTTGGGCAGCAATGGGTAATGTCAAATCTTAAAGATTCCTTGAGGTCCAACATGTTAGAAGCTTCTTCCAAGATTATTGATAAACCGGATATTGCAACATAGTACATGATTTATTTAATCTAAGATTATAACAACAATATAAGTAACTTTTTATCAATAAAGATAAAAACAATTCCGAAAAATGCTCACATAGAACACATGCAAACGATGAAATATGTTAATAGAATGCAATTTAAATTTCACGTTTTGTAAAAACTAATTTAAACAACTTCCCCTTCTTACATCACTTCTTTTTTCCTTTGTTTCAGTTTTTGTTTTTTTTTTTTGGCTTAAAACTCCACAGAATCTTCGAACTGTTTAACTTCCACAATATCTTTCCTTTAGCAAAATGCCTTTGTGTTGCATTTCACTTATGACAACTACGAAATGATGCAAACCCTAAAACCTAGTATATCCAAAGAAAGAAAAAAATTGGGATACTTTTTAGCAGACATGAATTAATAAGGACCAGACAAATCACAACAACTAAGAATATTAGTATATGGCAATCATATGAGAAGAATGCGCTAGTATAACAGCTAATGTTATTTCATTTACACATATATAGAAGGTGATTATGCCGCATTCCAAATATCATGTTCACAAGTTCACAACCCCAGAATGGCATAAATTTTACCCACTAGATTTCAAACCCAAAACTTGAAACACTCTTCCTAAAAGAAAAAAGAAGTTTGATCACCAATTAGAAAAAAAAGCTTGATTATTCAAAATTAACCAAAAGCCGAAGGTGAATTATCACATGTTTTTATTCATAACACATTGACAGGTACCAACAAGAAGATATGGCATTGAAATACATGCTTTTTGCACACTGTATAGAGGCAAGTAAGTTCAGCTTCTATACTCATTGCTTAGAAATGCAAGCTGGACATTGGAGAAGTATGTGAAGTGGAAACAGAATTCAGAAAATTGCTGATATGCTATGTAAAAATCAATCTGCCTATATTGCCCATGAAAATGAAAATATTGTACCTCCACCTCAACTTTCCTTAAATACCATGGCCTACTTGCCTTCGACTACCTGCCTACCAGAACTAGAACCTCAAGACCTCCAGGAAACCATACTCCTTTTTGTTTTCTGAATCTGTTAACTTTGTATTAAAGGGAAGAAACCATATTCCGTTATTCCCTCAAGAGAGAATGTTTGGATAATCACCATGACAAAAGTCACCAAAACATAGTTATCAGCTGCCGCTGCATAGTGCATTAGCAGTCCAACCATTAACTGCACTAAAATTGCCCACCATGATGTTCCCACGTACGGCATACCAGGGTGAGCCTCCCCCAGACCCAAGAATGAGGGCAAAAGTTTCGAGTGGTACATAACCTCCCCAACCCCTTAGAACAATCTTTTTTTTGGTTCTAAAGAGAATAAATAAATAAATCAAAATTAGATTCTTCATTCTTTCCAGTTATTGAAAAAGGTAATACATTTTACCTGCAACTTCCCAAATCAAATTGGTGATCATATTGAGAGGATTTTCGAAGGAACCCGCCTCGAACCACTCATGAGGAATGTCCTCTGGTCAAGGGAAGGCGGCAGGAAATACCATTTAATCTCGTAGGCTAAAGTCTGCTCACCCAAATCGGCCGTAGGATTGGGAATCCGCAGGCTGAGAACTTGTAACTTAGCTCTGCTAAAGAACTGGTGGTGGCACTTTGCCAAAGTCCACATTTTCAGTTGGATTGCCATTTCAGAAAAGGGCTCTCAAGTCAACCAACAGCAACGAAGAGGTGTACAAACCCCAAATTGGTCCATCATGTGTCCCGATGTTGAAGACACTAATGCCCCCTCTTCATGCATTGTGCCCTTGCACATTCTTTCTTAGGAGACATCTTACAGCTGTTTGGCTGGCCATAGGTGACCCCACCCTCAATTCCACACCTTTTTCGCCACCTTTACTCTCCCCCTTGGCTCAAGTCGGGGTTACTCTTGTGGAAAACCACTGTGGCAGCTCTTCTGTGGGTTCATCTAGAAAGAGCAAAACTGGAGGATCTTTCAAAGGGAGTACCTCTTAATTAAGGCCCTCAAAGATCAAATTAGAACCTCTATCATCTTTTGGGTAAAAAACAACAAACACTTAAGGAATGCTTCCTCCTCCGACTTCTTCCAGAACTGGCAAGCATTATTGCACTTGCGATCCACCCGGGTAACTCAATCCTCCCTTTGGAAAATACCAGATCCTGGCCAGATCTAACCTTAATTTTGACGGGTGTTCTCTAGGACCCAGGACCTGCAAGCATAGGGGACCCCTTTAGAGATAAGGAAGGGCGTATGCTGTATTCCTACTCTCGCCCCATCGGTCTCGTGGACTCCAGTACTGCTGAGGCCACGTCCCTTCTCAAAGGCCTTAAATCCTTCTATCCATCCTACAGTCCAATTCTAGTCATTGAGGAGGACTCCAAAAATGTGGTGGCATGGGGATCAGGATTCTCCCCTTACCCATGAAGGTTCAAACATATTTTTAACAAGATTTCCCAACTTTGCAGAGTTATTCATGTCTCTTGGATGCATATTTCACGGGAAACCAACACAGCCTTCGATTCCATTGCAAAAGAGGGAGCTAAAAAGTCGACAAACATGCTGCACAACCCTTAGGCGACTCTCTAGCACCTTCTTGAGCATGGAGCCCCCATTTTGTATCTATCGGTTGCTACTGTACAGAAATTTTTTGGCTGCCTTCTAAGGGCTCACATTTTATGAACCCTTGTGGTTTTTGTACAGGGCCACTGAACTGTAGGGTGCCTAATCTCTCTCTCTTTCTCGTACTTTCTTTTACTTAATACAACAGTCTACATTTTTTTGGTTGCCCTTGTAAGGGCTCACATTTTTTAGACCCTTGTGGTTTTTGTACAGGGCCACTGATTTATAGGGTGCCTAATCTCTCTCTCTCTCTTCTCT